AACAGGCATAAGTTAGCTACCTTGCCATTGGTCGCCAGTGGTAAAGGTGTGCGGTGTATTAGATGAAACTTGCAAATTCTGTTTGGCAGTTAACTTGGTGGATTCCATCCTAAAGAGACTGCCTCCAGTGCTCAAAATTGAAGAGGAGCAAATGGCACATGGACGAGATGAAAGTGCAATACCTGTATAAAGTTTATGAGTCATTTTAATAAATAAATTACAGTTAGGTTTTCTACTCTGACCTTGTTATCTTACAACTGATGTATTAGCAAAAATCATTGAAATCGTGAAATTGTACATTTTAATGGCATGTGGCTAATAGAAGCAGTGACACAAGTGGATATTATATCAGATATGTTGCATCTGATGTGGGACAATATCATATTCAATCCCGTGGATGAGGCTGGAAGAATAAAGAATTGAGAGGAACAAATGTAACGAAAACTAGGATGTTGCACGAGTTTGGTCAATACCTGTATAGTGGTTTTCATACTCATTGGATATACTAAAATTCACATAAAGTTAAGAAGTAAAACGTTGCGGTCGATTTGGGTGTATGTTATGTGATTCGGCAAATTCTTGGCGACCAATCAACCCAAGCCCAATGAGCGCGAATGTATAGGTCAACCTAAAGGATGGAATGCTTTATTTTATAGTGTTTATACATGTCCTGTGGAGTAGTTCTCGATTTTTCTCATTATACGAACAGCGGACGGGTAAACCCCATAGCCTCGAAGGCCAGTTGCCAAATCATGGTAAAAGGCGAACCACATAAGAACGACAACAAGACTGCCTACCACAAAATATTAATAATGATAATACTACAAAGACAAAGGAGAAAGGGGAGGGGGGTTGACGACCCGACCTCGGTCGATAAGTTATCAACCTCAACCGCTTGATCGACAGATTGAATCAACACTACATGAAAAAAATACGAGTGTGTTGGATATTTGAGTATCCTGTTTGACGGAATTCTGTTTTACCGAATCTTAGTTTCTAATCAACCTGTGTTGTTCGAGCGGCTTAAGTCGCTAGCACTGACGTTCTTTGGGTCCGAGACTCGAACTCCGACGCGAAACATAGTTGGTAGGTGGTTTTGCTGTCACCTGGCCTTATAGGGTTCACCGCTTCAAGTCTCGGGGCATTGATGTTATCGGTTCCCATTCATGAACAATAAGTAGGTTCTCGTGACAAGAATTTATCTCCTATCACACAATAGTGTATTATAAAAAATAGTTTATAAATTCCGAAAGAAGTGACAACTTGTTTTAATATCAATCATTATTTAATTAGGGGGTGGGGATAAGCGCGTAAAATCAGTAACAAAAACATCAATACGATTATTTCTAAAAATCAGACAAGCAAATCGCATTATCGGTTTTACTGTTATGATAGTTACGATTCAAATTAATCCACTTCCAGCTATTGGACGATCGAGTCAGCCTCAAATCACAAGTGCTTTGTTCGGGATCTATCCCGTTTTAATTTCAAACTCATGATTCGATCACTAATCTGCTTGGTAGATAAGGGATAATTGCAGTTTACTTTCGGGTGAAACCCAAACGTACTTTTACTCTCACGGGGCAATGCAGCCAGCCGTACTGAAAAACCTGCGCCTTAGGTCCCAACACACATGTGTGCACCACAACACCGATCGAACGTGCACTCTTATCACAAGTTTAACCTTGACCGCCGCACATCACACTTTGGCCGAAGATAAACTTCAAATGTCAGCACCGCGTTGAAGTTCCGTCCAGACGTCAAAGCTGTCTATTTTTTCGATATGGCGCGTGCTCTTTGGGTTGGTCAGTCAGTCACGTGTTGAATTGTACTGTTCTGTGAACAATTCTATATTAAAAATAACTTGAGTGATGTCCAATTTTTTATATTATGATGCTATGGTTCGCTTTTTTATTACACAATGTGAATTACAGTAGACGTTGAAATCCCCATGGACAAATAGCATACTGTAAAAGGGAGAGTATGGGAACATTCACGTAAGATCCAGTTTATTGACTCTGCGTTTAAAAAGTGCACGACTGTAATTTGGGGGAAAACAACAAGGAGGAGGGTGTTCCACAGT